GAGGGACAGGAGAACATCATCAATGCCGTAAAACACCGCGATACAGTGAAACTTCCGCAGAACGGATCCTGACACGTCACTAGTCTCTGAGCTTCAGCAGTACCCAAAGGCACCAGCAGAGGCGCCTTGTCACAAGAAATAAATGATGATAAGAACCTCCTCCTGCTCCTCCGTTCTACATCTTCTCCTGTTGTGTGTAGGAGGAGGAAGAGGAGGAGGAAGAGCAGGAGTACTTAACATCTGAACAGCCTTCACTCGTTCATATATTTGTGTGTGATTATTTCAAGGCTAAAATACTTTACCCCTCCCCCCTCCTCCCCCACACTTTCAAAGTGGACAGGATAGGGATGAGAATGTTTCACGACAACCGCACATCTGAATAATGAATGTTTTCCACAGAGAAATCAATCAGTCTGCAGTAAATAAACAGGAGTGTGTGAGTAAAGAGTGAGAGGAGTGTCCGCGGAGTGTCCGTGGAGTGGACGGAGAGAAACAGGACCAAACGTCACGTCAGTGTCACGGGTTCTGTTCTTTACACTAACGCTTCTCAAACTTTTCACACCACGAATCTCTCCTGAAAATATCTGTCTCTGTACGTACCATCACTAACCTACTAACTAACCTCCACTGTTTATATTAGAGTGTATTCTTAGGAGCCGTCGTGACACTCATTACCCACTGACCCAAAGATCCAGTCGGGCTGGGTCAGGGGTCTGATTCTCACACAGACTCGGCCTCCGTGGATTTATATCCTTCGTCTGAACGAACGAACAAATGCATTTAAAAAAATACAATGAAACGTGTTCCTCACGGCCTGTGGTGAAGTGGATGCAGTAAGAGCAGTCGGTCAGAAGCTCGAAGGTCTGCCGCCTCTCTGCACCTTCACAGATTCAATACATTTTATCAGTAATCAGTGGAATGACCCCCGCTAATCTTTTTCTCATTCACACACACACGCACGCACACACACACACACACACACACACACACACACACCACCTAATAGACCATTAAGTACCCCGCGCTGCTGACACCGACACTTTTTTCACCACGACTCTCCATTACTGCCCCGTTATTACCGAGGCTGAGGGAGACGTGCGGCGGTGGCAGCGGGTCGGCCTCCCACCTCAGTCTGAGAGACCACGGACTCGGAGTAGGGGAGAGAACACAACGGCACAACTGGGCCACAGGAGCAACACCGCTGACTGTCTGCTGCTGCTGAACGAAAAAAGGTGAGAAGATATATGACGTTTATATGTATATAAACATATATTTATATACATATATAAATATATATGCAAACATTATATATAAATAAATATATATATACACGATAAATATCGTATTTGATTTGCCGAATTATTTTATGCGTCACTTTCAGTTTCTGGTTGTGGAAAGATTTGTGAAGTCAATTTCAAACATTATAATTGAGATTTGGGAATAAAGTTAATGTTTAAAGAGCGCAATATATATGTATATATATATGTGTGTGTGTGTATGTACATAGACACGCATATATATACGCGCTGACAAATGTATGATCGAATAATCGCTGTGATGTTGTGAAGTCGGTCTCCAACAGAACTGAACAGTAAAATATTCACTGTAACGAATTTTTCTTTAATTTTATTTATTTATTATTATTACAACCTGTCAAGAGTTTTTAGTAAATGTATCAACATTTTAAAAATCAGAGTCAAATCAGAAAAATTGTTTTCATCTTTGGAACAGCTGCAGGTCATATTCTAACAATCTATATTTGAACAAACTTTTATATATAGGCCTATTTATTTTTATATTTTTTTTCGTAATGCGTGTGAGCAGTAAAGTCACACACACACACACACACACACACCTGTTAGACCCGGCGGTGTGTCCGAACACAGCAACAGTACACTTGCGTCTTTTCTCCAGCGGGGGGCAGCCTTTTGCCTGTTTTCAGGTGAATCCTTCGGGCTGAGACGTGGATGTCGGTCCTGAATAATTCTGACTCCAGGATTCTTCAGATTTTGGACTGAACAACATTGTCACTCTTTTCTTTTCTTTTCTTTTTTTTCCCGAACGTAAGGATTTTTTTTCTCCAGGTTGATCGTCTTTATTTTTGATGAATCTATGATTCTTCTTGTTCTTGTGTTATTCATGTGATCTTATCATTGGGAGGATTGTTTCATCCCAACAACGTCGTCAGGAACAGCCCCACGGTCGGCAGAGAACACAGCAGACCCGTTCAACGGCAGAATATTCGAACCCGTGGACAAAGGTTTTTTTCCAACGAGTTCTAGTCGGAATTCCGACTTGACTGCTTTTTATATTTCTTTGTTGACGTTGAAGCCAGTGAAGAGGACGAGGTGTTGTGACTTCCTGTGTGAAGAAGAGAAACGTCATCAGTTCACAGGTGACGTTCGTCAGTGAAGATGAAGATGTGAACGACAGTAGACGGAGGAGCGACGACGACTCCTTCTCTCCTTCAGCTTTGAGGTAAGTCGGTCAGCTGACTGTCCGAGGCTGTCGACTCTGCACCTCCCCTTCCTCCTTCTCCTCCTCCTTCTAACTGTGACTGCTTCCCATTGGACAGCTGCTGGGCCCGGACTGACGTCATGCTGCGTTATAAGCATAAAGCGCTCGGTCGCTGCAGAGCCAGTGTGCTGGAAACCAGAGTAAGATAAAGTAAAGAGGAGGAGGTGGTGGAGGAGGAGGAGGAGACTGTTGGAACATCTGCGGTGCAGAGCTGGAAAAAAAACTGCTTCTCGGCCAAAATCACACGTCCCCTCACAGAGGCGCACTTTTTTCCTGAGGAAAAAAAAGTTCCCCGGACTTAGGAAGAAAAAGTTTCACCGAGGACCGGTTCCTGTGGTAGAGTACCAGCGGTAGAACTGTCGTTGTTTTTGTGACCGGGGCTGTTTTTTGTCGATGTTCCCGTTTGTGCGAAGACACTTCGCTGAAGAAACTGAGCTTTGGGCCGTCCGCGCTGCTGCCCCACCTCCCCCGCCCCCCCCCAACTGAACTGGCTCCGTGACGCAAAAAGTGCGCAGAAAATTAGTCTGAAAGTTTCTCTGCCACCTTTTCCTCCCTGTTTTTTCTTCTCAGCTCTGCTCGGTTCGGTTCATGCTGCAGCAGGTCAGCGCACAGCGTTGGAGGAACTCCATAAAGAACTACTGTGTGAAGGAAGAACGCAGAGACGAGAGGCTGGTCAATAAGACGCTCCCCGGCCCGCTGGTGCTCACCAGCAGCCTCGCCTGTCAGCAGAACAGCCGCAGCAGAGCCGCCATGAGCGCAGAGCTCAGCATCCAGGGCCCGGAGTTACCCAGCAGCCCTCTGGCTCTGGAATACGTCAACGACTTTGACCTGATGAAGTTTGACGTGAAGAAGGAGGGTTTGGCGGGGTTGGAGCGCGGTGGGGTGCGTCAGTGCACCCGCGTCCAGCCGCAGGGCTCCGTGTCCTCAACTCCCATTAGCACGCCCTGCAGCTCAGTGCCCTCTTCGCCCAGTTTCAGCCCCACAGAGCAGAAGAACCACTTGGAGGAGCTGTACTGGATGCCGGGCGGGAGCTACCATCAGCAGATAGACCCGCAGACGCTGAGTCTGACTCCGGAAGACGCGGTGGAGGCCCTGATAGGAGCCGGTGCGCAGGGCCAGCCTCCGCCTTCACATGTCCAGCAGCAGCAGCAGCAGCAGCAGCAGCAGCAGGGCGCTTTCGAGGGCTACAGAGGTCCACACCATCACCACCACAACCAGCAGCACCATCACCCATATGCGGGGGGCATTGCTCACCATGCTGAGGAGCTGCCACTCAACCACCCACACGGCCAGCATCCTCACCACAACCACCACCACCACCACCACAGCCAGGACCCCGACAGCCCGTCACCGGTTTCTCCAGACCCACACCAACCGCTCCATCACCACCGCCACCACCATCACCACCATCACCTCCAGCTGAGCCAGGCGGCGGCGGCGCACCACGGCGGCGTAGGCAGCGCACACAACGCAGAGGACCGCTTCTCGGACGAGCAGCTGGTGTCCATGTCGGTGCGGGAGCTGAACCGACACCTGCGGGGCTTCAGCAAGGACGAGGTGATCCGCCTCAAGCAAAAGCGCAGGACCCTGAAGAACCGCGGCTACGCGCAGTCCTGCCGCTTCAAGCGCGTCCAGCAAAAGCATGTGCTGGAGAACGAGAAGACGCAGCTGATCAACCAGGTGGAGCAACTAAAGGCCGAGATCGGGCGTCTGGCCCGGGAGCGGGACGCCTACAAGCTCAAGTGCGAGAAACTGACGGGCGGCAATTCGTCCGGGGCCAACGGCGGGTTCCGTGAGGCGGGCTCCACCAGCGACAACCCGTCATCCCCGGAGTTTTTCATGTGAGTTGTTCCGCAGCACATTCCCTGTTGTCCACAGAGACTGGTCCACGAGTTAAACAACAACAACAACGGACAACCCCGTTAACGATAGGACTGATTCGATTCTAAAATGAGTTGGACGGACTAGGTTTTCTTTGTTTTGTTTTTTGAAGTCGTTTCACCTCCTTCTAGTTGACGACAGAGTCGCTGCATCTTTGTCGGTGGAGAGAGGAAGTGTTTCCTCTTTAATCCACTTTGTTTTTTGAAGACTTCCCCCCCAACAGTTAGGACAAATTGAATCCGGTTAAGAGGCCGTTTGACTCTGCCAAAGGTGAGCTGGGGGTGGGGGGGGGGTCGTCTAAAAACCTATATGCAAATACGTACGTGTCGTCTATCAACCCTGTCACTGACTGACTCAGGCTGGACGCGGGGTGTGGGGGGGTTATGGAGTTATGGGTGGGGGGGTTATGCAAATATTTCATTGGTTTTAAATTTGCCTGCTTGGTTTTCTTCGAGTATATATGGAAAAGAAAAAATAAAGTCGTGCATTAATATTAATCCTGCATGCTGGACATGTACGGTGTTAACATCTATTTTCTACTCTCTCCTCCTCCTCCTCCTCCTCCTTCTTCTGTGTATTCTCCTTCTCAATACCAGTAACAACAGCATGTTTTTTACCCGCAGCTTCTCCGTTGGGGGGTTTGTTGAGTCGACTGCCGGTGCAGTGTCATATTTGGTGTGTGTGGGGGG